GGGGGAAGCGGGTAATTTACCCACCCTTTCTCTAAAAATTCCTCTCTGGGGCACGCCCCTCGGGGGCCACCCCCGGGGCCCCCCCAGCTAACCCACCCCCCCCCCCACCCCCTTTTTTTCCACCGGAAGCCTTGGATTAACACCTCCTAACCCTTGTAGGCGGCTTCCCTAAAGGGCAATAGCCACGGAGCCAAATTTTTCCCCCCCCCCCCCCCCCCCCCCCCGCAAGCTGAGTAAAGGGAATGGGTGACAGAAGGGAGACAGAAAAAGCGGGGAGAGGGAAGAGACCAAAAGCGGCGGGCACGGTTCATTCGCGGTTCTTTATGCTCCCCCAGCGCTGTGTTGAATTATCCTGTCCAATTTTCACTCCCAAGGAAAAGGATCTAAAAGCGGGGTCAGAGGCTGGCTAAATCCATACTTGGTCCCTAACGGACAACCTGAGGCCTTGTCAGGGTCTGAGCACCCGGGCTGGGCAGGGAGGCAGCTACCGAGGGGACTGGAATCCCTAGCTCACCAAAGGGTGGAGAAGGAGCTCTGGGTGGCTCAGGAGGCCACAGGTGCTGCGAGGCCCATCCCCCCTGTTCCTGACTGTGAGGAGGCAACCATCACAGAGTCCTCTCCCTCCCCATCACCCCCGAGTGGGGAAACTGAGCAGAAACAAGCCAGGAGATTAGACAGTGGGAGGGTGAGAGACCAAAAGCAGGAAAAAGGTGAGTGCCGCTGGGGCGGGCATGCACACTCAGAGCCACGGCAAGAACAAACCACACGAGAGGAGCAGCTGTTTTTCTAGCGGGTTTTTCTCAAGGGGGGTCTCTCAGTGTTGCAGCTGCTGCAGGCTTTGCAGGGCTTCAGCACAAGCCCGGATAAGGCTACACAGCTGGATGCTAGACTCCAGGGAGGCGCTAGAGCCCAATTCAGCGGAGGCCCAGGTCAGCTTCTGCAGGAGGGCCTCCCGTGTGCTGGCCATGACATCTGCATTGGGGGGCACAGCAGGAGGGGCCGGCCCCTGGGCTGCCTTGAGCCCCGCGGCAGCTCCCTCACAGTGCTCTGGGCGGGGGACTGGGGGCTGAGGGGCCGGCCGAGCGCCTGAGGGGGGTTCCAAGGCAGAGGCGAGCTGGTGCTCCCGAGCTTGGGAGAGGGCAGCCTGGGCATTCAGAGCTAAAAGGGGAGAAACCGAGTAGAATGGTCAGGACGCCTGGCCCACCTCGGCCCTGAGCCACCTCCTCACTCTCTACTGCTCTGCTCTTTATGTGCCTCAGATGTGTTCCCTGCCACGCTACAGGGCAACTCATTCATTTTCTTTTTGTATCATGTTTACTTACGTCCTTGAGTCATCGGTCTCAGCAGGACTATGCCTCATGGAGCCGGGACCCTCCCTTGTGTCTGGCACACAGGAAGTGCTCGGCGCTCTTACTGAATGAATGCTCCTTTATAGAGCTAACAGGAGAAAGCGCCTTACCTCCGTCCCACTCAAGGACGCCACTGCCACCTCCCAGCACTACTGCTCCCAGGGCTCTATCACCACGCTTCTCCACCAAGCACACTCAGCCCCTCACCCGGATTATCCTTATCCACGTCTGAATCGAGCTCCTGACAAGCCACGCAGTAGGTCTGCCGCTGTTTGTTTTGGAGGAGGATCGTCTAGGGGCCAGAAAGCACAGGGGCAGGGGTGAGACGCCAGGCAATAGGGACCGGAGAGGAGAGGCTGGGGAAGGGCCGTGCGGCCTAGTCTGTGCCCCATCCCCGCTCCCACATCCCGAGTCCCTCCTCACCCCACAGTCCGCGCACGTGTCGCCCAGCATGCGGTAACCACGCAGCAGGTAATCGCCCATGAGCGAGGAGATGCGATTCTGCCGCTCCCGCCGAGCTTGCAGCACCTTCGTCTCCGCTTCGGTCGGAGGCTCCCAGGAGAAATCGTCGACTTCTGGGGAAAGAAAGGCACAAGGGACCTTGTGCGCTCGCCGAAGCAGGTGGCCTCCCGGACCCCGCAGCCGCGGACCCCGCAGCTCAAGTCCTCACCTGCACCGTTCAGAGCCATGTTGCCCGTTGTCGCCGCTGGGCTCAATGGAAGTGACGCACAGGCAGAGCGCCTGTCTCCGGCTCCGCCCCCTCCGTGGTGGGCGAGGGACGAGAGCGGAAATGACGCACAGAGGCTTCCCGGACGTCGCGACGCCCCGAGTGAGGCGTGTCTGCTGTAGACCACCCAGCCCAGTTCGCGACCCCAGCGGGAACCCAGTAGGAGGGGCTTCCCCGCGGTGACTCCGCTCCGCTCGCAGCGCACGGGTTGCGCAGGCGCCGTTCTGCCCGCCGGCTCCGCCTCCCCGGGGGTTTCCCTTTCCGGACCATTGGCGGGCGGGGCAGTGGCGTCACCACTGCAACACCCTTGCTAATAGCGGACGGCCGCTTGCTCGCGCGTGGAGCCTTTTCAGGCCTCAGTACTTACCACTTCAACCTGCAAGGCGGGCCAGCAGAGACCATTCTCGCTTTCTATACCTTTCAGCCTATTTGCATGTTTGGTGCCCCAGTCTCTCCATCCCCTGCCTACCCTAAGGCCTGGGACTGATAACGGAGTCAGCTCCTAACTTTTTTTGAAGTTAAGCCCTCAAAAAGCCTGGTGCTTAAAAACACTGTACTGGGCATGCGCAGTTCCGGGAGCGGCCACAGCTGAGGAATGCTTGCTGGAGAGGGAGGGTGAAGGGCTTGTTTCACCTGTCGGTAACTATTAGGCTTTCCTTGGGTGGGTTGCTATTAAAATTACTCGTTGCCGAAACCGGTTTGGCTCAGTGGATAGAGCGTCAGCCTGCGGACTGAAAGATCCCAGGTTCGATTCCGGTCAAGGGCATGTACCTGGGTTGCGGGCACATCCCCAGTAGGGGGTGTGCAGGAGGCAGCTGATTGATGTTTCTAACCTATCTCTCTCCCTTCCTCTCTGTAAAAAATCAATAAAATATATTTTTTTAAAAAAAAATTACTCGTGCTCCCTAACATTGGTCTTGGTGATTTTTTTCTATTTTCTCTGTTCTTTTCCATACACATCCTCTCCCTTTTTAGGTTTGGCGAAGCCAGATGGGGCAGGCAGTGGGCTCCAGAGGCGCAGCCTGCAGTGCCTCAAGGCTGTGCACCAGGGCAGTGGAGAAGGACCTAGGACTTAGACGTGCCATAATCTCATCTGCAACCTCCTCCTTTGGTTAGACAGCACAGCTTCTGCAATATAACCTGAAGATTGAGTGCCCTCCCAGCCCCATCTTCTTACGTAGACGCTTTGGAACTGCCATTTTGCCCTAGCCAGTTGCTCAGGGTCCCTGAAGGGTCCCTGGTTCGATTCCTGTCAAGAGCACATACCTCAGTTGCAGGCTCCATCCTGGCCCCCACACCCTGCATGCGGGAGGCAAACAACTATTAGGTTTCATATTGATGTTTCTCTTCCTCCGTCTCTCTCCCTCCCTTCCACTCTCTCTAAGAATTAATGGAAAAATATCCTCAGGTGAGGATTAACAAACATTAAAAATGGAACCGCCATTTTCTGATCCTTGCGGCCTCTTGCTTACTTGGAGAGCCCCGAGCCCTCTTCGCTCTCTCCCTCTCCGGGCAGTGCCCCTGACTCGGGACCTGGCCTCACGTCAGTTCTGCCAAGCTGACTAGGGATTCTCGGATTCTAACCTGTACATGTAGACCTTCCAGGTCCTTGCCGTCTTCGGCTCCCAGCCTCACCCTGAATTCTTCAATGCACCTTCTGTGTCATCGTCATGGTCAATATCCATTCAACAGCCTATTCTGCCTCGCACCAACGAAGACCCTTACACTCATCCTCCCAGTTAGCCCCCTTCATTTCCTCATGACAACCTTATGCGGGAGATACTACAGTTATCCCCATTTTACAGAGCAGGAAACTGAGCGATTCTTTTAAAATATAAATCAGATCATGTCACTATTTTGCTTAAAACCCTCTGGCATCTCCCCATCACATTTAGATGAAAATCCAAAGTCCTTACTATGGTCTCCAAGGCCCCACAAATCTGGCCCTCGGCCTCTCGTCTCCTCCCACCCTCCCTGCCTTCTTCCTCTCCCACCACTCAAGGGGACTCCCATCACCTTCCTCCACGCAGGGCCCCTCCCTGCCTCAAGTTCTGCAGGAGGGTGGACAAGGCACAGGCCTGGAACCAGGCAGGCCCGGTTTGATCCTGCATCTGCTGCTCACTGGCTATGTCACCTGGAGTGGTTTACCTCACCTCTCTGGACTTCAATTCCTCATCTGCCAAACAGGCCTCATACCTGCTGAGCAGGGCAGCTCCAGCTGGAAGGCAGTGTGGCTGAGGCTGCTGAGTCAAGGAGTCCCAAATGTGAAACAGATACCGTCAGTAATAGCCCCGCTGCCCAACAGAGGGCTTTGCGCGGCAATGGTTTCCGCTAACGGGGGAAACAAAACACAGCTGACCAAACTATCTAGACTCCGGAGCACTCTGCAGATGTCCGGAATCAAGCTGTTGACCAACCTTGCGCTGCCCAGATGGTCTCCGTCGTTGTACCAGACATGGCGACATGCCAGCCATCACTGGGTGGGCACAAAGTAAAGGGCTCTGTACTCCTGAGTCCTTCCCAGTCCTTGACAGGGGTGGGCACATAGAAGGTCCCGGAAGTGCTGGTGATAAAGCCCACGTACAGCGGTCATGGTCGGCAGACCAGCTGCCTGGGAAGCAGTGAACTTGGGCTCTTTCATACCCTTCCCTCACCAAAGAGTTTAGCACACTCTCCTGTGAGCCAGCCCAACACCTGAGGCACTGCTGGCATGGCAGTAGTGAGGCCCATTCCTGAGTGACAGCACACACAGTGGTGGATTTTCACACACGGCTCAATTACAGTCCCCCCCCTTGTCTGCCTCACATGGCAACGCGTGGCTTACGCTGTGTAGCTGTGGCTCTGAAAAATCATAACGTACTGGGGTTTTAATCATAATGCCAATTTTAAGCAAAATAGTGACATGATCTGATTTTTATTTTATTTTTTTTTTTAAATATATTTTATTGATTTTTCACAGCGAGGAAGGGAGAGAGATAGAGAGTTAGAAATATCGATGAGAGAGAAACATTGATCAGCTGCCTCCTGCACATCTCCCACTGGGGATATGCCCGCAACCAAGGTACATGCCCTTGACCGGAATCGAACCTGGGACCTTTCAGTCCACAGGCCGACGCTCTATCCACTGAGCCAAACCAGTTTCGGCTGATTTATATTTTAAAAGAATCACTCAGTTGTATTTTCACACTAACAGTTTCTGAAAAGGGGTCAACTTTCCTTTGTTTTTTCACTGCCACGTGAATTGATATGACATCTCTGTGAAACAGGCAAGGGCCAGATGATACAGCGATAAAAACAATAATACTCAACTCTTGGTATATGTTTTCTTTGGGCTGGGCACTGTGCTAAGAGCTTTGCATGAATTCTCTCATTTAATCCTTAGGACAGCGGTTCTCAACCTGTGGGTCGCGACCCCTTTGGCAGTCGGTCGAACGACCCTTTCACAAGGGTCGCCTTAGACCATCCTGCATATCAGATATTTACATTACGATTCATAACAGTAGCAACAATACAGTCATGAAGTAGCAACGAAAATAATTTTATGGTTGGGTCACAACATGAGGAACTGTATTTAAAGGGCCAGAGGGTTGAGAACCACTGCTCTAGGACAATGCTATGAGTTAGGTCTTATCATTATCCCCATTTTGCAGGTGGGGAAGCTGAGGCTGGGATGGGTTAAGCAATTTATCCACGGCCACCGTGCCGGGATGTGGCAGGGCTGGGGCTCCACCCAGGCAGCACACGTCTGCAGCCTAATTCTCACCAGTGGACTTGACCTGCATTTGAAAGGTAGAGACGAGTGGTGGGGCTGAAGATCCTCTCTGATTTATCAAGAGTGAAATAGCCCGGCCGGCATGGCTCAGTGGTTGAGCGTCGACCTATGAACCAGGGGGTTGCAGGCTCCATCCCCAGTGTGGGGTGTGCAGGAGGCAGCCAACCAATGATTCTCTCTCCTCATTGATGCTTCTATCTCTCTCTCCCTCTTCCTTCCTCTCTGAAATCAGTAAACATGTATATTTTTAAAAAGAGTGAAGATAGGTTCATTTCATCTTCCAAGCCCATCTCTCAGTGCCCTTCATCACAGTATACGGCACATCAGAAGGGCTCAGCGACAGCCACTCTCAGTAAAGTGTCATCGGAGACACGTGCTTCAAGGGCAGAATGTCCCCTCCAGGCCTTTGAAATGTCCAGCCCTCATCTTTAGAACTGAGGTGCAGCCCCCTGCTATCCACCCCAGTGCCTAGAAGCTTCCCCGAAACATTCAGAAATCAGAGAAGCGGCACAGAGCCCGGCAACGGTCAGCTCTTTGAATGGTACCTCTCCTCCCACCAGCCAGCCCATCGTGGCTCCCAGACCCAGATAACAATGAAAAGAATGTGCGTGCTGAGCACTTATTATGTGGCCAGCATCTACCAAGGACTTCCTAAATGTAGGCTCATTTGATTCTCTGCTTAAAAATGAGGAAATGGAGGCATGGAGAAGTTGAGATATTTTCCCAATTCACATAGCTGGTCCAGGATGCAGCCAGGAAAAATTAACGCCAGAAAACAACCGCTATGCTATGCCGCCTCCTGAAACATAACTTCCGTTACGCAGGCGGCGGCTGCCCTGTCCAGCCAATTCCCCTAACGCGGCATGGGGAGCCTGGGTTTGAGTCCTGGCTCTACAGTTGACCAACTGTATGACTTCAGCCAAGTCCCTTGCCTCTTCTGGGCTTCACGAACCCCTCTGCACAAGGAACCCTCCCCTAACATTTGAGCGGTCTGACCTGTCCCTGGGCTCTTTGTCCCATTCCAGCAAAGCCCTTCATTGCCCTCGGGCCCAGCCACCTGTCTTTAGGACATTGTGGGACCCCCTCACTCCTCCATTCCAGGAGCACTGCGTAGGCTTTGGGTCAGGAAGACCTGAGTTCAGTCCCCACATCTTATCACCCAACGACCTGAGTCTAATTCAGCGGTTCTCAACCTGTGGGTCGCGACCATCGGAAAACACATATAGCATATCAGATATTTACATTATGATTCATAACAGTAGCAAAATTACAGTTATGAAGTAGCAACGAAAATAATTTTATGTTTGGGTCACAACATGAGAAATGGTAATGGTTTCATCTTGCAGAGCCTCGGTTTCCCCTTTGGAGCGGGGCTGGGAGGATGAAATACTGTAACCGTGTAAAGTACACAGTAAATGCTGGGTGCTCTTGTGGCCTCGCTCTGTGTGCAGCCCTGAGCTAAGATCTGGAGTTTGTGCCTTCATGGGAGGTCAGTGAGATAGACAATAAGCAAGTAGTCAAACTCATAATGTTTCAAGTTGTTTCCAGCAGGAAACAAACAGGTAATGTGACCCAGAGGGCCAGCATGGCTGTTTTAGAAAAAGACATACAGAAATACCTCCCAGAGGCAGAAACCCAACAGCCATCACTCAGGCAAAGGACTGAGCTCAGCATCTTTTTATTTTTTTTAATC